GGCCACCTGGCAGGTATGGCTTAGGGGCGTGGACTGATCCAGAAGGTTAGGAATAGCGGGAGACACCTACCCAAGTCAGGAGAAAAAGGCAGTGGAGAGAAGAAAGTACCAAGAGTGAAGAAAGAGCGGGGAACATCATGTGGAGAGAGAGAAACAGAAAGGAAGGTCTAGGGAGAAAAGGGTAAAGAAGGGGAGAAGAGGAAGAGAAAGAGAGAACGTTCCCACTGAGGCTGGAGCTGTAGCCTTTGTAGAACGCTCGATGGCGGGGACAGAACCAGACTGTTTTCCTGGAACCGACTCCCTCTCGCCTTCCAGCTCCCCAGAACATAAAAGAGCTGGGCTGTTTGTGCTGTGAATTTCTCAGCCTCCAAAGAGACAGGAAGAGGCACCACTTTTCAAAAGCTGGTTGCTAAAGTGAGAAGCCTTGAGAAAGGTGTGTTGCTACTGTTGCTGCCGTGAGCTTCCTTTCCACACGCTGAGATGAGAGTGTCTGGAATACTTTCCCTTCCCTCTCAGAGGCCACAGAGACAGTAGCTGGGAGGTTCTCCGGCACTGGGAGACAAATGTAGGTTCTACTCCAGGTTATATTGGAGTGCTGATCTCGGGGGACCCTTGATGTGCCATCCAGCACTTCCATGCCTCAGTTTCCCCACTTGTCCAAAAGGGCTACATGACCACTCTTAACTGTTACTAGGATGCCCTGAGGAGGAAAATAGGAGAAGGCGGGATAATTTCATGGGAAGGGCTACAGGAGTCTTCAGCTCTGTGCCCAGGTGAAACCCAGTGGGGTGGGCGCCCTGCTGTCCTCCGGAAGAAAGAACACTTGTCCATTTTATTGGCAAGAAAACCAAAGGGGCTTGGCTGAGAGAAAGCTGACTAAAGTAGACGCAGAATCTGTGACCGGCACAAGGACCAGCTGTAGGCCTGAGGTCCACATAGATGCTCCTCGCACAGTCCCATGAGACAGCCTCGAGCCCGCGCAGCTCAGCCCATCTTTACTCTTATTCTCCACCAGCAGCACCAAGAGAGCCTCAGAGAACACCCCCACTCACTGAATACCCCCCAAGCATTCTTGCGGGGCATAAGATGCTGAGGCCTTCGGAAGTCTGACTTTGGACTGGGAAGGAGATAAACGAGGTCAGGGTTTCTATCTTTTAAACGGCCCTGGGCAGCATCCTCATGACAAGACACCCTCTCCAGTCCACTGAGCGAGTCAGCACAGCGCCCCTGCTCCACTGGGATGCCGTGACCCTGCCTGGTGTATTGCACACAGATGAGCAGCAAATGACTGGCCTCCCTTTCTTCCGGCAAGCCTTCCCCGACCTCTGCAGGCAGAACTCAGGGGCTTTCCTCCGCTTCCATGAGAGTAACATAAGCCAGGAGTCACCTTCCCAGAGGTGGAGGTGAACCCTGCTCCTGCATGGTGCATCTGGAGGACAGTGGCTTTGATCTTCACTGTGTGACTATGTGATGGAGCCAGCCCTTCATCCCACTCTGCCACGGTTTGTTTGGTCCCAAGTCTCATGTGGCAGTGACCCGGGTGGGTTGGATAAAGGGGGTGGACGCTTCACAAATGGCTTTGTGCCTTTCTCACGGGAGCGAGTGACTTTTCACTCCAGTTCCCACAAGAACTGGCTGTTGAGAAGAGCTGACACCTCTTCCCCTCTCTCTGTGGCTTTCTCTCTTGCCATGTGAGCTGCAGATGCCCCCTCCCCTTGCATTCCACCAAGAATGGAAGCTTCCCGAGGCCCTCACCAGAAACAGATACCGGCTTCTTGTACAGCCTGCAGAACCAGGAGCCAAATAAACCTCTTTTCTTCACAAATCACCCAGCCTCGGGTATTCCTTGATGGCAATACAAACGGACTAAGACGCACTCTGTATTTGGATATTCAGACTTTTTACCATGCGGCTTTGCATTTTTTTCCTCTAAAAGGGTAGAATACATTTCCTCACTCCCTAACATGGAGTTTGTGTGTGTGACTTTCTTTGGCCAAGAAAATGAGTGTGTGCCTTTCTGGGAGCCTAGGACTAAGAGGTCCTTGTGTTTCCACTTGCTTTGCTGTCCTTCTGTCATCACCAGGAGAATATGCTGGGCTGGCCTGCTAGTCCAGGTGAAGAGGTACTGGCCCCAAGTAGGCCCAGTCTGGATTAGCCAACCCATGCATGCTGAGAGATCTCATCCAGAGCAGCAGAGCTGCCCAACCGAGCCAGCTTAGACGAGTGGCTCCCTCGCTGACCCACAGGTCCACGGGCTTTATAAATGTGTACTGTATGCATATTTATTGTGTGTCATGAGATTTAGGAGTTGGCTGTTACACAGCATTTACATAGCAAAAGCTGCCTGATATATTTAATAATGCCTATTCCAGCATCTGGCATATATAGGTTGTTATATTAACTTACTTGGTGAATAACTGTGAATTGAAGATAGAATCATATCTGATTCCATCTTCACAATAATGCTCTAAGACAGTCAGGCATAATTCACCTAAAATTATGGTAAAAGAATCTGAGGCCCACAGGGGTTACATCACTACCTAAGATCACATGGTGAGAAAGCGTCTAGGCCAGTATTCGACTCCAGGCTCTGTGACTCCAAGGCCAGTGATCTTTTCAGCCTGCCTGACCATGGCAGCGCTGACCCACAGCTCTCTGAAAGGCACTCCTGGCCTTTGTGCTGGATCCTTACAAAGAAGCCCACTAGGAACCGAAGGACCCTCATTTGTCTGCTCGTGGCCAATGTGAGCATCAATGCAAAGGCAGACACCCTTAGAGAGAATGAGGAAATAGGGCCTAGGACCATTTACTTCACTAGGCCAGATGCCAAATGTGGTGAGGCTTGGGTTGAAGGGAAAGAGACAGATTTTTTTTTTTTTTCCTTTCTTGATACTGTGTTGCAAGCCTTTCAAATTGGTCAGCACCTATTAAAATACTGGAATGAGAACTGTAAGAACAGCAGACTCGGCTGGGAGAACAGGGCTTGCATTGCTGCTGGGGGTTGAGTCTGATCCTGCACATGAAACTGTGCTTTGAGATGTCCCTCTCTGTCCCTCAAACCATTTAATGGGCATGACTCCTTCCTTCAGCTGCCCTCCCCAGTCCTTCCCATGGATTTTTGCCTATTTTAGGTCTAAAATAGCTTATTGGGATGGGTTCCATAAACCTTCATGAAACTCTGTTTCTCAAACCCCATCCTCCTGTCCCATTCCCTGGATCAAAGCTTCCTGAGTTTTCCATGAGCTCTGACCTCCTTAGCTATCCCTTCCTTCCTAAGACATCCACGAGGCCACATGATCATAAAAGCACAGTTTTGTGAAAGGTCATTAAGTCCAGGCCCTGGCTTCCGCAGCCCGCCTCCAAGGTCACCATGTTGACTAAGCACTAATTAGACGCCAAGTGTGCAGATGTCTAGATATGCCTTTGCCTCTGGGCATATCTTATCAAAGACAGGCATCCCTCCTATTTTTAAAACTCACCAGAGAATTTCCCACTCCAGGAGTGTACCTAATTCCATTGCCATCTCCTAGACCTGATGCTTTTCCACTTCTATCTATAACTCATCATTCCGCCTGACTCACTCACTCACTCATTCACTCAACAAATACCTAGTAACTGCAGACATGTGTTGCTTAACAGTGGGGACACATTATGAGAAAAGCATCATCAGGCAATTTCTTCATTGTGTGCCCATCAGAGAGTGTGCTTACACAAACCTAGATGCTATAGCCTACTACACTCTTAGGCTATATGGTATAGCGTAGTGCTCCTGGGCTACAAACCTGTATGGTATGACTGTACTGGATACTGTAGGCAATTGTAACACAGTGGTACGTACTTGCATATCTAAACATACCCAAACATAGAAAAGGGACAAGAAAAATGTGCTATTATCATCTTTGGAACCTCCATCATATAAGTTGTCCATTGCTGACCAAAATGTCATTATGCATGCATCACTGTACCTCCATCTAGCCAGGCTCAATTACAGTACAGCATGGCAAGGAAATGACAGTCCTAGAGAGATGCAAAGTGGCACGGAGGTTAAAAGTATAAACAGTAAAGCCATACGGCCTGGGTTCTGGTCCTGGTCCTCTGCTCACTGGCTGTGTGGCCCTGGGCTATTTGCCTAACCTTTCTGGGCTTCGGTTTTATCATCTGTAAAATGGAGATACTGATAGTAGCTGCCTCAGGAAGTTGTAGTGAGCATCACAAGCGCTGCCTCGTGGAGCTTTTAAAAATAAAATAACGTGTATAATGGGGCTAGGCAGGGCATAAAAAGCCACACAATCCTAGTCTCCTGAGAACTTGGCTCTTAACAAATGTACACAAGCAGATATTCTTGGCCTGCCCCACGGAGAAGAACATCCAACTCAGTGGAGAACGGCCATGGAAAGGTTTGCTCCCGTTACACGTGCCGGAAGGGGCCAGAACTGCAGAGAGGAAGCACAGGGACTGGGCAGAGGGGAGCCACTCCGGATGAGCCCTGACTCAGGAAGTGGCCAGGGGGTGGACAGAGCACCAGACCAGGAGCCAGGAGTCCTGGGGTTAGTTCCACTCTGCAACAGCCTCGATGTTTGCCCTTGAACAAGACCCCCACATCCCCACTCCACATCCCATTCCAGCCTGGGCTTCAGTTTCCTTATCTGAAAAATGAGGGAGTAGATCAGCTTAAAGGCCCTTCTAAACGATTCTTGGATCCTAAACTCAGGCAGCTTTTGGCAATGGTATTATTGAGAGTCTGGCCGCGGGGGACCTGCAGACTTCACTAAGTGACAACCCAGTACCTCCACACAGCCTCTCCCTGCTGCCTACAGCTCACTGCTTCCCAAACATCACCCCCTGCAACCACTTCCCACACTTTCTACCTCCCTTTCTGAGCTGGGACGGGAGCGGGAGACGGCTGGACTCCAGGAGGGTGTGTTGCCCAGGGGCTGGTCCACAGAGGGGCGATGTGCAGAGGCCAAGGGGCACCAGGAAGAGCTCTGGCGGGTACTTACCGCAGGCCCAGTGAAGGGCACATGGTCACAGTTCTCCTGCCAGGACTGGTTGAGGCTCTGGGCAAACTCTTGGAAGAAAGCATGGGATTGGTTGAAAATGGAAAATCCCAGGATGTTGACACGATCATCCACAAGGCTGTCCATTCTCTGGAGTGAGAACTCCTGGAAAGACCCAGCATCAGAAATAAGAACATAGTTAGGAAAGGGTGAAGTGAGGGATGGACTTCAGTAGAGCATGTCCGGGTACTTCATTCTAGTCCAGAGAACACCAGACAGTCTGTTGGGACCTAGGAGTCCAGAGTTAATGAGAGTAGTTTTTCTAGGAGTTAACACTGTAATAGTGGAGGGTGAAGGAGGAAAAAAAAAGCAGAATGATCTCTAAACAAGTATATACAAGATGCACTAGCTAGAGAAAGAAAGAAAAAAGCCATGTGCCCAGTGGAGGCAGCACTAGGCACATGGGGTTTTTTCCACGGGAAGTGGGATGCTTGAGCGGTGTCTTGAAGGATATATAGGCATTTTCTGGGTGGAGAACTGTGGGTGGTCAAAGGCTACTCCAGCCAGAAATCCCCACATATACAAGGGCACAGAGCTGAGAAAGTGCATGGCCCTTTCAGTCAACTGCCCGTGCTGTACTTGTACTTTGATGAAGACGTCACTTCTTAAAGTGTGATTCTACCGTCAGCATCATCCAGGTTCCTTTTTAAAAAATGATAGGGCTGGGTGCGGTGACTCACACTTGTAATCCCAGCACTTTCAGAGGCCAAGGCGGACGGATCACTTGAGGTCAGGAGTTCGAGACCAGACTGACCAACATGATGAAACTCCATCTCTACTAAAAATACAAAACTAGCCAGGTGTAGTGGTGTATTCCTGTAATCCCAGTTACTTGGGAGGGTGAGGCAGGAGAATCACTTGAACCCAGGAGGCAAAGGTTGCAGTGAGCTGAGATTGTGCCATTGCACTCCAGCCTGGGCAAGAAGAGCAAAGCTCCATCTCAAAAAAAAAAAAAAAAAAAGGATGATTCCTGAACCCCACCTAACACCACCTGAACCCGAATCTGTGGAGCTGAGGCCCAGGAGCTTGCATTTCCAGTGGGACCCTAAGTCTTATACACCTGAAGCATGGGTTAGCACACTGGATACAAGGGGGCCTGGGAGAGGGATGGTGAGAAACGAAGCTGGGGCAGTCAGCAGACGCCAGACCATAAGAGTGAGGATGCCAGGCTTGCGAATGTGCCCTTTGTCCTAGGTGTGATGGAACCCAAGGGAACTGTCAGCGGGGGAATGCCAAAACCAAGTTTGCTTTCCCAGAACCTCAACCTGAGGGTTTGTGGGTAGGGTGGTGCCTTCATTTACCACTAATTTTTGCATTCACTTGATAAACATTTAAGCATTTATCATGTGCCAGACATGGTTCTAGGCATGGAGGATACGGATGAGAGAGACACACTTGCTGCCCTCAGGAAGCCTGCAGTTAGTGGAAGAGACAGATAGTCAGGAAACAAATTCATCATCATTTCGTATAGCTAGGGGGATGGGACTTGGGGTGAGGGACTGCTACTTTAGATGAGGCAGTCAGGGAAACCCCATCTAAGGCAGTGATATTTAGAAGCTCAAAGGCGTTCTCCCTGCAACCCATGGTCCTCATGCAATCAGCCGGGTGGGGCCAAGTGATAGTCAGCAGGTGTGAGTGCACCAAGGCCAGTTAGAGTTATAGAGAGGGGCAGTGTCCTCCTCTGAGCTGGGAGCCCTGGCCCCCAAGATCTCCCTGGGCCCTGTACAGCGAAACCAGTCAAGAGGGTGTAGATTATCCAGCTCACTGATCCCTGCTCCCAGAAAGATGCCTTCAAATGTGTGTCAGGCCACCTTTTCACACAAAAATCACATTCATTGCATGTTCATTCCAAGTGCCTCGCACACAGCTCCACACCCTGGGGGTACACAGGACTTCCAGACCCAAGGACTAGCCCATCAGCTACTCAGCCTGACATGACAGATGGCAAGCGCCTTGGGCTTTCCTTCTGGCCAGGCAGGCAGAAATATTGCTTTCCTCCAGGCAGTCTCCTCTTCTGAAGACTTAGCTGCTGTAGGCCCCTGGCACCACCCTTGTGTCCTTGCCACACAGCTCCAGTCACTGCCAAGGTCTCAGGCTGCAGGCCTGAGCTCACCTGCCCAAAGCCTGGATTCATTAGCTTACACGTGCAAACTGGAGGTACCAAGCTTCCTTTGAAGCCACCAATGCCTGACAGAGTGGATTTGGATAAGGATTAAGTGTATTTTGGATCCTGCCACATTCCCATTAGGGGAACAAGGACATGCCAGAGAATGTACTGATTCCTACACTGATATTATCTCCCATCTCTCTAACAGGGCAGCTGCCCATGTGCTGTGGGCTATCGGTAGGCACAAGGGGGCAGACGGCTAATGAGAAGAAGATTCATTTGGCAAGGGTGCAGTGACTGGGGCAGAGCCAGACTGTTGTGGGCAAACCTGGGCACAGTTGGCAGGGGCTGGAAAATGTCCTCTTCCCTGGCTTCCTTATCATTGTGGGTAGACACATCAGCTCAACTCCATCCTCTCCCCACATGCATAGCCTGATGGATGGAGGCTCATTTTAAGGAAGCCCTGAGGCCCTGGATGTTCACAGATTCACAGTGGCAGCTGGGGTGATATAGTGGACTCAGGCTTTGGTGTTCAAATCCAGGTTCCTTACCGCACTGGCTGTATGACTTTAAGCAAGGTCTGTAACCTTCTGGGCTTCAGATACTCGTTTTTAAAAAAGAAACAATATTAGCAACCTTATAGGTTATTTCAAGGAACAAGTAAGATGCATGCAAAGCTTAGCATCATATTTGGCAAATACAACAGCTACTGAAAGACCACAGTGAAATCTGGGGCAGCTTCTGGCTCTCTGCCTCTTCAGTTCCACTTGTCTTGGAAACCTAAGTTAGGAAGGTATTCCCTTCAAATGCATGTTCTAGGTGGAGTAAGAATGAATGAGTTAATTACAGACACTTAGAGACAGTCTACCCAGAAGTCAGCCAGTCTGTCTTCCTGCTTTTTTATTCCTATCTTCTTATCCCTCAATTATACGCAACTTTCAAAGGCCAAACCAGATAAAAAGATAAAAAGATTCCAGAAGTTTCCTTGATAATTTGTTCTGTTTATAATGACTCACGGGATAGCCTGTGGAAGGACAAGGAAGGGGGAGGGGCACATTCTTTTACTGCCATTTCCCACGACACTCTAAGGTTCTAGTATCTAAGAATCCTTACAGTTAGGAAATTCTTCTTTTCATCTAAACTTAGACTTTCCTGCTGCTATTGAAGACTATTGTCTAAAAGAACATGGGAAATAGCTGACCACCGCTAGTTTACAAACAATGAACATCTTCTGTGCCAGTATTTCTCAAAGTGTGTTCCTCAGGGCATTAGGTTTCCAGAAATTTCATGAAGACAAGTTTCCATGCTCAAATAAGGCTGGAAAACAATGCACATTATATCTGCCTTTTCAAGATTCATAATACTCACTAGCCTATTAAAGGCTGAAAAAAGTACAGCAGCGAAGCAGCTGGTTTCATTTTGTTTAACCCTGAATTTCCCAAACACACTGACCATGGAACAAATCAGGACCGTGGGTTTTTTTTCCTCCTCCAAAATCCATGAGTGCCTGGCAGTAGCATGCTTCAGAACGTAATCTGGGAAATGCTACTCTACATCTATTCAGAGAAACATTTCTTATAAATCCAAAGTCAAGTGGTGGGGGCATTTTGTGGAGACAGATAGTTCATAAAACTAACACATTTCAGGAATGGAAGGGATTAAAGTTCACCCAGTTTCTGCTGCCCACCCATCTTGAGTCCTACCCAGGAATGCACACCTGGCTCACTTAGGCTCCCACTGTGCCTCCCCAACCCCGCCCCAGCCACACTGCCTGGCTGGTTGTAACCTTCATACAATGACAGAAAGGGCTGGAAGCAGTCCCTCAGGTGGAACAGGTCCTCATGGGGACCTTGATCCTCTTCTTACAAATGTCCCAGGAAGGGATGTCCTGAGGGTCCCTGCTCCCAACAAGCGTCGACTCCCATTGTCCCAAACCAGGGTGAAGCACAGAGCAAATGAAACCTGGTAAAGCCAAGTGGTGGGGCAGAGACCAGGACCAGGTCTTCCACGACTCCACGTGTGGGTGGCTTTGTGACAGACCCCGTGTTGCAGTCTTTGTTCACACACGTGGCCTCTCTCTACAGAGGGCTGTGTGTTTCCAGGAAGTAAAGATACATTTGCCTCATTTTTGAACTTCACATTGCAGCTACAGAGTGCTTGATACCTAGAAGCTGTTTGGTCAATGCTGTTTTGAGGACAGTTGATTGACGACATCTTAATGCCTTGGGTCTCACTGTGGCCAACTCTAACACCGAGCACACACTGTCACACCTCCAGAAGGTGTAAAAACATGCGTAGAAGCTGTGCTAACCACTGACTGTCGCCTGTGAATTGCATTACTGTATTTTTAAAAATCCTGACAGCTTGCTTTCTTATCACTGGGCTTTCACATGAAAAACATTTTTAAAACTGTGTGCATGTGTGTGTGTGTGCACATGTGCATACATGTGTGCAAATCTTTGTGTATACAATGGTATGGAAGGGTCCAAATAGCTATAGTTGAAGGTCAGGTCAGAACCACAAGTGGATACAGGGGGATGTTATCCTGGGATGAAGGAAGGCCTCATGGATAACGGCTTGAGAGCTACATGGAAGGGCGCCCCTCACTTTCTGCAGCAGATGTGCCATGTCCAATGTCCTGGTTTACCAACAGGCGTCCATTCACCGTGAGCTGCAGGAAGCTTCCTGGGTCTACTGCCTATTCATCACCTGGGCCAGGGAGCAAGAGCAGGCTCTGCGTAGGGGCTGAGTTGGGGATGGGCTCAGACAAGCAGAGGTCCTAGAGCTGAGGTAGTTTTGTTGGAGGAAGAGAGGAAGAGAGGGCCTGTGAAACTGTGAGATTACCATGGCTGCAAGGTGCTGACCATGCCTTACACCACACAGGGTCTGGTGCCAAGAAATACATAGCTTCAGTGTCTGGTATCTGGGAACATGGAGGGATAAGGGAAAGGCTGGGCAGACCTTGTGGGCAACTTCTGCAAGGGAGGTCTGGGGGAAG